TATGATTGCATTGGCTTAGATAATATGTTTAATACTTTTCCTAAGTTCTTCTGTTTGACTTTCTTTTTACACTGTGTATCAGATTTTTTTTTCTGTTTCCTATAGCAATTCTCTTTCTGAAATGGAGCTTAAATGCCTTTTGGCTTTACATGTGAATTTCTTTCCATATTTGTAGTCTGTAAGGAGACCTTTTCGTTTACTGAGGCAAGTTTGAATTAGGATTCTTATAGCTAAACATTGAAGGAAGCAAGAGACAGAATTGAACCAAATGACCATTCTAATTTTGTTTGCCATCTCAGAATACTTTTTTATCCAATCTTTGGTGTCCTTTACCCTCAGATTACATCACATCCCCTAATCCCCTTGGGTTAGTGAATCACCTGGATATTTGTTTCTCAGCTCACAAACCTTTGTTTGATGACTTACCTTCCATCATGTAACAGTGTCTAACCTAGTACATGCTCACCAAGTGTTTATTGAATAAGTAAATAGAAGAATGAATAAAGCTTTGCTCATATAAAAGAGAAGGTAGGTATACAGGACCTGAAATAGTATTATGTCAAGCCTGAAAGCCTTAGTCTTTTTATCTGGAGATAAAGATAATGATTTCCATGTTGATATAATTGAATTGTATAGGAGATAATGAAATGATCAGGAATAATCTCTTTGTAAACTACAGGGAGGTATGTAAATGTGAATTGCTGGTGGAACATTAACTTTACCTTTGCTCGGGTCAGGAAGTGTGGGCTGGGTGCAAACAGGGCAGTGGGTAGTGGAACAAAGAGTGGGCTTATTGAAGAAGCTGTCCTCTCTCTGTGTGATTTTTGGCTCCTTTGTGAAGAATCAGTTGGCTGTGAATACATGGGTTTATTTCTGCAATCTTCACCCAGTTCCATTAGTGTATAGGTCTGTTTCTATGCCAATATCTGCTTTGGCTACTATGGCCCTGCAATATGTCTTGAAATCACATATTGTGATGCCTCTAGTTTTGCTCCTTTTATTCAAAATTTCTATAGCGATTTAGGGTCTTTCATGACTTCATATGAGTTTTAGAGTTGTTTTTATCTAGCTCCCTGAAGAATATCATTGTATTTCATGGGAATTATATTGAGTTTGTGAATCCTTTTGGGCAGTAGAGACATTTTAACAATATTCTTCCAATTTATGAATATGAGAGGTCTTTCACACTTTCCTGTATTCAAATTCTTTCATTTGTATTAAGTAATTCTAATTGTAAAGGACTTTTACTCCCTTAAGTTTATTCCAAGTTAGTTTTGTAGCTGCTTCTTCTTCTTTTTTTTTTTTTTTTGGTACCAGGGATCGAACTCATGACCTTGCACTTGCACGGCAGCTGCTGGAACCACTAAGCTAAATCCCTTGCCCAAATGGTTTGCCTAGTTCTCTATGTATGTATATATTTATTTATTTATGGTACCGGGGATCAAACTTGGGTCCTTGCGCTTGCGGGGCAGGAGGCAGAAACACTGAGCTAAATCTCCCACCCTGCAGCTATTTTGAATATTACTGTAAGTATTTCTTGTTCAGTGTATTAGTTATTCGTGTATAGAAAAGCTGCTGATTTTTGTATGTTGATTTCTTGTTCTGTTAAGTTTGCTTCTCAGTTATAATAATTTTTTTGGTGGCATCTTTAGGCTTTTCTATATGTAGAACCAAAACATATTGAAACAGGGATAATTTGATTTTCTCTTCCTATTTGTGTACCTTTCATTTTCTTTCTCTTGCCCAGTTGCTCTGGTTAAATCTCCTAGCACTATATTGAATAAAAGTTAGTGCACATCCTTGTCTTCTTTCTTGAGGAAATGCTTTGCTTTTCCCCGTTCAGTATATGATACTGGGCATAAATATGTCATAGATAACCTTTGCTAATGTGGAGGTATGACCCCTCTATACCTAATTTGCCAGAATGAAATCAAGTAAATCATGATGAATGATCTTTATTATGGGCTGTTGAATTAAATTTTCTAGAATTTCGTTGAACATTTTTGCATCTATGTTCATAAGAGTCATTAGTGTTTTCTGTTCCTGTGTTCTTTTCTGATTTTGGTAATGGGATAATTCTGGCCTCATAGGATTAGTTTGGGAGGATTTCCTTCCTTTCCATTCTTTGGGATACTTGTGGAAAAATTGATATTAATTCTTCTTTAAAAGTTTGGTACAATTCAGCAGTGAGGCCATCTGTTCTGGGGATTTTCTTTGTAGAGAGACTTCACATTAATTTAATCTCATATTTGTTGTTGGTATCTTAAGATTTTTCATACCCTTATGGTTCAATTTTTGTTGATCACATATATTCAGAAATTTATCCCTTTCATCTGTGTTTTCTATTTTAGCATGTATTTTTTAAGTAATCTAGTTTGAGCCTTTGAATTTCTAAAGTACCAGATGCAATGTCTGCCTTTTCTTCTCTGCTTTTATTTATTTGGCTTTCCTGTTTATTTTTCCTGGTTAGTGTATCTAACTGTTTCTTAATTTTATCTTTAAAAATGCAAACCTTGATTTAATCTTGTGTGTGCATTATTTACAATCTCTGTTTCGTTTAATTCTGCACTAATCTTCCTTTTTTTGTTTTATTAATTTTGAATTTCACTTTTTTCTTGTTTGTGCAAGACATTGAGATGCATCATTAGGTTTTTTACTTAAACCTTTCTATTTTTTATTTTATTTATTTTGTTTTTTGCAGAACCAGTGATCAAACTCAGGATCTTGTGCTTTCCAGGCAAGCGCTGGCACCACTGAGCTAAACTTCTGGCCCTCTATTTTTTTAAATGTAGGCACTAACTGCTGGAAACTTCCCATTTAATACTGATTTCATTATATTACATATGCTTTGGTAAGGTGTTTTTCCATTTTCATTTAAGAAATTTTTTAATTAAAATTATTTAACAACCATTACACAAAAATGAGTTGCTTTATTTTCCATGTGTTCCTATAATTTTAAAAATTTGTCTTGTTGTTACTAATAGTTTTATTCCATCATGATCAGAAAAGATACAGGATATAATCTCAATTTTTTGAATGTAAGACTTGATTTTTAACTTAATGAGTAATCTATAGAGATCATCCCAAGTACTAATAAAAAATGTATTCTACAACTATTGGATTAACTGTCCTTTAAATGTCTATTAATTCCATTTGGTCTATAGAATAGTTTAAAGAAATTTCTTTGATATTTTTTATCTGAATTATCTGCCCATTGATGAAAGTGGGTATTGAACTACCCATCTCTGTACTGGAGTCCATGTCTTCCTTTGGGTCTGATAGCGTTTTTGTTTATATGTAAACCAGGCGCTCTGACATTAGACACACAATTGTTGTATCTACTTGCTACATTGATCCCTTGATCATTGGTGACTGTTTTTGTCTCTTCTTACAGATTTTGTCTTAAAGTTTATTTTGCCAGATTTAGGTATAGCTACTTTGCTTACTTTATTTTTCTATTTGCTTAGAACATTGCTTTCCATCCTTTCAGTCTATGTGAGTTTCTTCTTGGCAGAATTGTTTATTTGGGTTTTTTTGGTTTGTTTGTTTTAATCCCTTGAGTTCTTCTGAATCTTTTAATTGGAGTACTCATTCTGTTTACATTCAAGGTTAGTATTGATAGGCAAGTAATTCTGTCATTTTGCTGATTTTATTGTAGTTATTTTGAATGTTCTTCCTCTGTTGTCTACCTTTGTGGTTTGATGGTTTACTACATATGTAACAATGGTATTAGAGTCTTTCCTATTTTTGTATATATCTACACTTCTAGTGGGATTTATACTTTCGCATGCTTTCGTGATGATAGTTGTCTTTCTTTCTTAAGCATTTTTGTAAGATTGGTGGAGTCAATGTGAATTTCTTCAGCTTTGGCTTGTCTTAGAAAGACAACATTTCTCTTTCATTCTTAAAGGATGGCCTTACTCCATAGAGTATTCTTGCCTGCTTGAAAGTTTTATTTCAGACTAGGAATACAGCATTCACTTCTCTCTTGGCCTGTACAGTTTCTGCTGAGTAATCTGCTATGACCCTAATGATGATGCTCATAGAGATGACGTGGCACTTTTCTCTGACAGATGTTAGGTTTCTTTGTCTCATATTTTTGATAGTGTGACTCTAATACGCCATGGTGAAGATATGTCCTATTCTTGTCTATTTGGAATTCTTTCCCAATTTGGGGGATATGTTCAGCTGTTATTTTCTTGAATAAGTTTTCTATGATATCAAGATTCTTCTCCTAAGTTTGGATAGTCTTACCCAAAAGTGTGGGGTTTTTGATTAACAATGTCCCAAGGACTTGAATGTTCTTTTCATTCTTATTTCCTTTGCTCACCCCTCCAACCCCTTTCCTCCTTCCTCTGTCTATCTCTCTCTCCCTTTCCCCCTTTTGTCTGACTGTGATATTTCAAAAGACCTGTCTTCAAGTTCAGATATTCTCTTTCATGCTTGATTTAGTCTGTTGTTGAGGCTTTCAGCTGTATTTTTTTTTTAATTTCACTTATTGAACTCTTCATTTCCAAGAATTGTGCTTGGTTTTATTTCAAAATCTCTATGTCTGTAGAGTTTCTCATTCATTTGCTGAATTATCTTCCTAATTTCTTTTAACTATTTGTATTTCGCTGCATTTTGATTATTTTTTAAAATAATCATTCTTTTAAATCTTAGTCATCTCAAATTTATTGATTTTGTGGGGGATTTGTCGATAAAGTTACTATGTTCCTCTGGGAGCATCATAATACATAGTTTTTTTTTTCATATTTATTGTGCTCCTACATTGAGACTTGTGCATCTAGTGAACTGAGTATTTCTATCACTTTTATGTGTTCATCTTCTTAGTAAGGTGCTTTCTCCCAAGGATGTGTCTTGAGGCTTCGGTTTATTATATAATGTTGGATTTAGTTCTAGCTGGACATCATGAAGTAGTCTCCCCATATCTTTGGGATTAATGACTTTGGGCATGGTACACACTTGGCAAGAGTCAGAATGACTTATTGTTTCTACAGGCCACACAGCAGTGGGGATGCTTCAGCTGTTTATGCAGGTGCCATGTTGACATCAGAGTGTGTTATGTGGGGTGCTTACCACATGGCCTCACCTACAACAGGACCAACGGTGAGTGTCAGGTGATGGGAGTACCCTCAGGCACTGTTAATGCTCTTGCTGCTCCTAGCAAGGGCTCCTCACTGTGGCAACCTCAGCAATGGTGAGGAGTCTGTAGCACTTGTTCTTTAAACAGTAATGCTGGCCTAGATGCTGCACGGGGAGAGGAGGTGGTGAAATTTGCCACACCTGAACTATGGTGCTCTTGCCCAGTCTTGATAGTTATGTGTGGTTGGGCAAGGTGGGGAGGTAGAAAGGTGGAACTGCATAGGTGAGGTGGTAGCAGGAACTGGGCCTGTGGTGTGCACAACTGGGAGCTGGACTGTGCCTGGCATCAGGGAAAGCTCCTCATGGTACTCTTTGGCTTTGTGCCCTGGGAAAAGGAAAACAGCCTGAACCATTGAATTGCTCAAGGTTCACTCAGCATGTCCTGGGGAAGAGGACAGGAGTAGGAACCATTCTATTTCCTCCTCATCCTGTCAGTGGTGGACCCCTCCTTGTAGAAGGGAGGGGCATCAGAAACTGCATAAGTCACCACTTTCAGTCCTGGCACTGGAACAAGGTCACACACAGATGGCCACACCTTGATCTCTTGATTTTCTAGGATGGCACCATTTCTTCCCTTTGTGTGGGATTTCCTCAAGTCTGCACACTGAGCAGACTTATGTGACAGTTACTCTACTGGGTCAAGTTAGGTTCTTAAGGGAACTACCACTTCCTGAGCCAATACAATAGACATCTGTGGAATCCCAGAAATGTAAAGATGCCGGGGATTCTGATACATAGAGCACCCTACACTCATACAATAGATCAGTTCTCAAGGTGGCACCCAGCTACAGCACCTTGAAGTTTCATGAAAAATTGATGTGAGATCCTTTTCCAAAGCAGATTCCAAGCTATTATCTAAGTGGACTACAAGCTGTGAGGATTAGTCAACCTTGTAGTGGCTCAGACTGCCACATCTGCTCTAATACTTTACCATAACTCTATCACCCTTGCCCTTGCAGAGGAGACTCACCTTCCCTGAGACATAGAGGTAGAATGGCTGATGATGGGTATTTTGCTTTTCTTTCTGTGCTGTTGTACCACATCTCTGCATCATAGAAATTTCCAGTCTCTCTCATACTGATTTCCAGGGTTTTCATACTGTCACTCACCTCTAAATTTACCTGTGATTGTTGTTCTTCCTTGAGCAGGAGCCGATGAGCGCTGGATGCCTCTATTCCACCATCTTGGATCCAGATTCATTCTTGTAAATGCTTTTCTTCGTAAAAAATACAGTGTTAAATAATTCATAGTTTTAGATGTCCAAAGGGAAATAATAAATCAAGGAAGAGAGAAAGTGAGGTAAACTTTTTGGAAGTTAGCTGTGGAAAAATTTATGAATAATATTCCAATGAATTAAAACTAGACATTCTGTTACCTTCGAATCACTAGCAAAGAAGCTACTTTAGGAATTAACCAATGCTCCAATGGAACTATCAATTTGTTGCTAGTCTTGGCATACCAATACAGCAGGACACCATCAGTTTACTGCACTATGTTATCAGATGGAATACCTGCTAGAAATCCCTAATTAACTTTACCTGCAACTTCAAGTCCCACATAATAAGAAAAAAAAACACGTAAGTTCTAAAGAGTTGGAGACAGTGCAAAGAAATGAGAATGGGTGATCTCCCAACATCCTCCTGAATGGGTGACCTCCCAACATCCTCCTAAATTGCCAGAGAGATGGCAATTTAAAGTCCATCCAGGGCATGACCATTTTGGCCTCCTTACCCAAAAGGAAAAGCAAGTTAAAATATCAACAAGATGGTTTCAACATGGTAATGATATTCTACATTAGGAGGCTCAAACAAGGACTTGTTTGTAAGAAGTCAAATTTAGAAAAGACTAAACCTTTATTCCTTTTTTCATTGGTGACAACAGTTCCTTCTTTCTGAAAGCACTGACTTAAGATCACTCTCTATGCTTTCCACAGAAAGACCCTGTATACAGAATTTCTCCATTAAAAAATAAGGAAAAATCAAAAGCCGTGCAATTTGATTTCCTCTCAATACATCCTCCATATTAGCAAAAATTTATTAAAAAGAAAAACAAGAAAAAAATACATAAGGAAAGTGAACAGGAGAAAGAAAAAGAAAAGGCTGCCTTTTAAAAACTTCTAGTATTTATATCACTTTGTTTTTCATTCACACCAGGGAAATAACAAGAGGTCCTCTGATGAATGTTGTAGATCGCCATGGTTACGGTTCAGAGATGCAGCAAAAAGCAATTATGGTGGAACAGAAGAAAGAAATGCACCTCTTTGTCAGAATTTCATAACAGCTGTAATAACACTAGTGCACCCAAATGAATGTAAAATAACTGAAATATTGTGGCATGTTAAATGCCAGCACATTAAAAAATTGTATTTCAATGTCACATTATTTAAAATGACAGGAAGCATTAATTCCAGCTGCACCAAGGAGCCTGTTAAGAGACATAGGGTGGGGGGATGTAAACCAACATCCACACAGGGAGGAGACTTCAAGACGATGTAGGAAAATACAGTAGTGTTGGGAGAAAAAAAATAGGACTAGAACGACACAAGAGCAAACTTAATCTGATACTCTGAATGAATTCCATTATATATAACTGAGCTGAGCCCCCACCCCCTGCCAGAGCTACTTTAGCAATAAAGCAGTCACCTGACACTTCCCTTGCACTGTGAGCACCCAGTATTTACATCAGTTAAAAGTTTTCCTGGTGAGGAATGTTATCCCATTTTGCAACAGCACCAAATAAGGAAATACTGACCAGATTATGATGTACACTTCATCCTTAGGAGGTGGATTTGAAGAGGAAACCTTCTGGGGTCAGGAAAAGTTAGGGGGTTCTATTAGTGATCCAGTGAGAATTTTCTCTTTCAGCTTGCATAACTCAAACTTCCTGGTTTTAAGGTGCTTGAGGCATAAGATACAGGTTCTAACATTTATGAAACACTATTTTTCTGTTCAGTACAGTATTGTACAAATATCATTCTCCTTGGAGTGAAAAAGCAAAGCAGGTGATAAATGTCTTGGTTACAAGTACACGTTGTACTATTCTTCTGATGCTCGGTTTGGTGTTTCCTCAAATTAGAAACTGATTTTGCTGATTTTGCAACTCAAGTAATGTCACAAAAGCAGACTCAGAGTGGATCGTGAGCAATGCCTTATGTTCTCATGGCCAAAGAATGCCTCCTCTCAATAGTGCAATCATTGTAGAAATCCCTGTTGAACTAGGCTAGAAGACAAGCAATTGCCAATAAGATCAGCATAATATAATCTCTATTGAGGAGAAAGCATACCTTTTAACAAATACTACTTCTGCAGTGGGTAATGTAGAAAGTGGTTTCATAAGCATTCTCATGTTTCTTATCACAACTCTGAGACTTGAGCTTATACCAGAGAAAGTATTAGAATTCCTCTTCCGGCAAAAGATGCAACTAAGAATCAGAATCATCATCATATGTGACATCGGGACTCGTATCTCTCTACTATCAAACCCGTGACTTCTTCATTTCACATTCCAGGTGGCACTGGCTCATTTTCATTTTCCAGTTCTTATTTTTGTTTTGTTCTGAGACAGGATCTTCTTGCCATGTAGCCCAGGCTGGGCTGAAACTTGTGATCCTCCTCCCTCACTTCCCAGAGTGCAGAGATTACAGGTTTGCACCAGCACACCTGACTGGATCATTGTCTTGCATACCAAGGGAGCTGGTCTCTTAGCAGAATGACATTTAATTTTGACTTTTAGATTTCCGCAAGCTGCTTTTCTGATTAGTGGCTGCCTAACAAATCACCTGCAAACTTACTGACTTGAAACAATCGTATTATTAGACTGAGGGAGTCCATGGGCCAGACATGCAATGAAGAGCCAGTGGGGATGACTTGTGTTCTTCTGTGTTTGTAGACAGACACGATGCCTTGAGTGTGGGGCTGGGATCGTCTGAAGACTGCTCCCTTTCGGTGTCTGACACAGAGACTGGAGCACCTCCACACAGTATCTTCATTTGCCTTGATTTCTTCACAGCATGGCAGCTCAGGACTCCAAGTATTTCAACAAAGTACAAGCTCCCTCACCACTTACAGCTTGACCTCACACTTCACAAAAGAGGTCTGAAGATAACAGATCCATTCATCATCCGTGCATAGGAAAATAGTCCTCATTTCTCCGTGTGAAGAAACCAGGGGATTTGAAGATCATGTGTTAAAACCATCATAGTCTCTAACCAAAATTATCTGCCTCAACTTTGGGCACATGTCTTTGATGAAAATGCTAAAGAGCAATACAAGTTAATGAGTAACCTTTGAATAATGAAGCTTGCATATATTTGATAGTTGAAGGTATTTATATTTGCTTCTGACATAGTAAAATGATTTCTGAAGGCATATAGAGAACTATGGGGGAATTACAGAGCAGGTGAATTAGTATCAGTGTCTCTCTAGGCACATTAAGCTGAAGGTGAGTGGGGGATGTTCTGTTAGCTATAAAGTGGTCATATTTATTCACTATTATACTTCTCTTCATTCCTTCTAGTGGGGAGGATTTCCTCAAGCCTTCCACACAAGCTGCTATACTTCAAGGAGGTAAATATCTTATTAACTCCCTTTCAGAGATAACAACCAGGAAGAAAGTCAAATGTCTTGTTACTGGAGCTGAAGACTCCCCTGAATCCAGGGCACAAGCTGATTCCCTGAAGCGTCTCTAACACTACTTTCTCCATGGTTCTATAGTAAAGGTTCAAACATACAAATCCATACTTCACCACTTACTTTTGAAATTCAGTCAAAGCTTTTTTTCTAAGGAAAAAATATTTACATAAACTTTGCTTTGAAACATGGAAAAAGGCACAGTGAATAAGGGTGTAGTTTGATGCTTTTGCACACATGCAGTACTCTCATCCAGACATAAACATGGTGAATACCCTGTGCCCGTCACACCGTTCCCCAAGTTGTTATGCATCTTATTCTTCTAGGATTTAATTCCACACAGACCATTTCTGTGTTTCAGATTAATCTACCTTTGTGCATTTTTCCGTGATATTCCTTGACCTCTTTACATTTGTTGTTCATTAACTTTCATTACTTTTCAAAATGCGTGATTACTAAACACATATCTAACGCTCACTTTACAATTCAATACAATACCATGGCTTTGCTTATTTTGCCTTTACAATCAGTGCACTATCAATGGTTTTATAGTTAATGCTCTGTAAGACAAAAATGGCAGATCAGAGGTTCTTGTCCCAAATAAACCTACAATTATCTGTATGCCTTTGAGCAAGTCACTTTACATTTTTGTCCCTTAAAGCTCACTTCAGAAAAATTGTTATAAGAACATATAATCTCCAATATTCTTTCTATAGCTGAGATATTCTGTTTTATAAGCCATCCACAATGAATCCTTGCTATTACACTTACAAGTCTTTCTTTAAAAAGAAAATGATATAAACTTTCTATAAGCACACTGTACTTTTTATTCTAGAATAAAAAACCCTCTGGGAAATTTAGACTATTTCTAATTGCAACATTTAAAATGTGACAGCTTGCCCATTTGCCTACAAGTGGACAATTGTCAGTGTACTGCTGTGTGACTGCAAAATAAAAAATAAAGATGCTGTCAATCTAAGCCAACATGGCAGAGTCAGTACAATGGGTTACTCCTTGGAGTGGTTTCCCACTTCCTTGAGCAGAATAGACTGGGGAGAGGATGCAATTTGAGCAATTGCCACCATGGCATCTGCTGGAGCCTGGGATAGGATTGTCAAGGCTCCTTTTGTGTGCTAGGGTTTCAACAGGGAGGCGTGAGAGACTAGATTTTGAAACAAAGGTTTCATTGCAGTGTGGCAATGTCTCATCATTTTATCGTTTGCTGTGTGCTCATGTCAGATAAGTGGGCTTGCAAAGTAGCTTAATTAGAATTGAGGATTATGCTGGGCCAGAATCCACTAGGCTGTAGGCCTCTCTGTGGGGACTGAAAGAAAACACAGCCTCACTAAATACTGGGCAGACTTTGGGATTTTACTGGGAGAATAAACTCAAAGCAGCATGGACTTCTAGTCGGTGTTTCTCAGACTTTCAGAATCTATTACTGTTTTGCTCACTTGTTTAATATCTGAAGGGAAAAGCATGTTTTTTTTTTCCAAAAAGAAATTCCAAGATCTCAGAACACTGATAGCACTAGTTTCCTATGATTCCAGAGGCAATAAATTAAGGCAACTGATAATAGTATTTGTCATCTAGCTGCAACGTATTGGGTTTCTAGGATCTCAGATTGCCATTTAAAATTTTCTACAAGTCTTGGTGCTTCTCCCTGTCAGTTCTGTATATAATTATTAATGAAGTTTTCTTACCATGTTCATCTGCCTTATCAAAAGATAGGTGCTATGAATGAAGGACCATGTCTCTCTGGTTCTTTTGTATATCCTCAGCACCCAGAATATTTGTCATCTTTGATGATAAATGTTCTCTTCAGAGAACAGAGAACCAGGGCCACTCTATATTTTAATAATTAAGGTCATACTTATATTCATTGATAACTGTCCTATAGATAAAAAGCAAATGCTTTATTATTTCCCAAACAACAAATTTGTCTTGTAGTTAAGTGGGTAAAAGAATATTAAGAGACAGTGTCTGAAGATATTCTATTGAGAGAATTTCTTAGATGAACCAGGATACATGCCTGATACCACATTTTAGGACTATTCTTAAAATATCTTTGTACAATCACCACTAGGTTCTGTATCAATGTTACAAATATATGTGGCAGTCTTACCCTGGCATTCACCCACGAAGGTTTTCAAGGTCTTAATATATGAATTAGATGTTCCCTTCACGTAATGAGTATTAATGAGTGAAGTGAAAATTTGGAAACAGTAAGGTTAGGTATATTGCACAGCAGTAGTGATGGTTTGTGGAAAGAGAAAAGAAGTTGCATTTGATCAGTTTGGTAGGGAGGGAAGGAGCTAAAATACAGATATGAATATGCTGGGTCCTTCAGAGGAACCTTCAAGTAATCCCTTTTCTGCCCTAGCTTGATGTAGGTCAACCTAGTAGAGAAAGTTTTTAGAGAAGCATCTGAGAATGTCTGAGATCAGTGGTTTTGCATATTTGCTGCCTCCCCTGCTTCTCTTTCATCACACCCATATCATGTAGGTTTTCACTTGCTTCTGCAGAAAGCTAAGCAAAAAGGCTACAAAGGATAGTACTAGTTTTTAAATAGCTTTAGAGCCCATATCAAATCCTGCTATAGAAGAAAACTCAGTGTTATTTGGCGGTAGGTGAAGTCCACAGAAAGCAATTTCATAGAGGATAGTTAAATCTCAAGGGGCAAAGACTATCTCATCTTACGTTAAAAGCATAGAATTCAATTCATAATAGCCACCCAAACACAGGCAAACTTGCCTTAAACTATAAAGTATTAACAAGTTATTTTTTGTTTGCTTTGTTTTGTGTTTGCTTTGTTTTGTGTATGAGTGTATGTGTAGTTTTCCTGGGCCATCTCCCACATGAAGGGCAGACAGTACTCCCTGACCCCAAAGGCTGTAGGTCATTATGACTATGGAGAAGTACAGACAAGACAGGCTATTATGCAGGCCACTATGCAAAAACATTGTTGCTATATGTATTATACTGAGAATTGCTTGAAAAACATGAGTGGAAGAATTCCTTGCCTTAGGCTTCATTTGTTAACTGCCTGGCCAAAGTTCAGTGTCTTAGTAAAGATAATTACTTACCACTAACTTTAAAGTTACACCTTCCAAAATAAAAGCCTAATTTAACAAAGCAAATCTGGACCTACTAGCTCATGTGTACAATCCCTGCCTTGACTGATGGCACACGCAAGAACTGAACTGGAATATCCCTCATAATTGTACCATTTGATTTTAACAATATCAAATTGATTGACTTTTTTAAAAAGGGGACACTGTTAATGTTGAGACAAAATCTTCTAAAATTTTCCTCCAACTTTTATATAATACTACCTTTGTGCCTTTGGCTACAAGGGTTAAGAGAATTTGGACAGTGATAATTGGCTGGCCAAATTAGTTTGTATTTCTCCATAAAAGAGTGTCTCTAGGAAACATTTTCAAACCTAAGCTAATATTTTGCTAACACTACAATGCTAATATTATGAGGCTTAAAACACATCAGAGAACATTCACATCTCATCATATATAATTGTTCCCGAATTTTAAAAATAGCATTCATAATTATCATTTGTGACCGTCTTCATTTTTCAGTTCTTATTCTATTTTTCATAAAGAAAAAATCAGTTCTATGCTTGAAACCATGTGCTTGTGTCCATTTAAGCACTTACTATAAACAGGAATTATTCTTATCCCTCATCAGGAGTCTGGAAATGAAAATGGGGCAGAGTACGTCAGACAAAATCAAATTTCTTTAAAATAAGAAAGGATGCTAAAATCACACTGGTGATTCACTTCCTAAATAAGAAAAATGGATTTGTCCCTATAGCCACAATCATTTTTAAAATTCTAAGAATACGTATTCCACATTCTACCTAGCCCTGTAGGCTTATCAGCCAGCAAACCAGAGATCTAGAACATGTGTGATCATCACTAAAACTTTTTCCCTTAAACTTCCAGAAAGAGAAAAACATTGTTCAATTTAGAAAAAGGGAGGGAGGGAGAGAGAGGAAAGAACTCTCTAATGGGTGGCAGATGTTTCAAAAAACAAGAAGTTGACCATGAGAGAAATAATCAGTGAGATGACAGAAAGGCATTCAATGTTGTGAGCAACTGGCTGTGGCCACTCACAGTTGAGGGTATGCTGTCCACTAGGTTTCGATCTGGATGGTCATTGATGAAAGAACTGGAGCAGGCCCTGCGGAGCTCTGAACTGCTACATTCCACTGCATCCGTTCTCCCTAGTACAGTTTATGCCAGTGCTGTCCTACTCCAAACATCTACATGCAGGATTCTAACCAAGAGCTTTCTTGCACCACAAAACTGAGGCAGATCAGAAGCTTTGGAACTTTAGTACCCCAAACAATGAGGAATAAAAATTAGTGTGTAAATACCTCAGCTCCTTCCCTCATCTAAGTTTCTCAGTAAGGTGGAGCTCCAGGTATTTGCAGGAATAATTTGCTTACAGATGCATTTCATTGGAACCCTTCTCTGTTCTTCATCTCAGTTCCTCACACCCCTTATGGTATTCTTGCGAAACCCCTTAACCCTAATATCAGCGTCAGCTTATGGGAGAATTGAGCTCATAGCAGTGAACCTAGTACAGGGGTCCTCTCAGCTTCTGTCATAATACATCTGGTTCCAGATGAAGCAAGTTCTTTGAGATAAATATATCACCAGGTAGCTCTGAGGCAATGTTAACAGATGAAGTTGATTTCACCCACTGTAGCTCTTTTAGCCAACTTTTACATTATAAATACAATGATCCAGGTGTTTACATAGTGTTGGCCTCTTATACTCTTTTATGCCCCCATAAGGTTAAGGGCTAAGAAATACAACTAACCTTTCATTGACATCAAAATATACAATAGGTTGTTCTGAATATGGATTTTGTATTTAAAAATAGCTAATATGGGAGGAGGAGGAGGAGAAGATGATGATGATGATGATGATGATGATGATATGTTCTCTGTCGTTGGAGAGCCAAAAATCTGTGGGGCAAGGAAAAAACCTGATGAACAGTAAATGAAGTGTAAGCTAAGAGGAGCCTACAACTTCCTTGGCTCTCAGCAATGTTGCCATGCTAACTCCACAGGTGGTCAACAAGGCTGTTAAAATCAGCCTTGATTTTAATCTGATTTTTTTATAAAATCAGACATAACTTTTTAAAGTAATACACAAAACATAGTGACGCTCTTGCATAAAATTACATTTTAACTTTTCTTTATTTTTTTAAATAACTTGGGAATTGACTGTTGTATACTCAAGTACAGTGGTACCTCAGTTCATGAACTTAATTCTTTCCACAATTCTGATGACAAACTGAACCGATGAGAACCGAATCAAATTGTGCCTTAAGGTTAACACTGAACCTAACCTTTGAATTTGATGCCTTGTATAAGCAAACACAAGGTCCCTAGACTAATGGAGTATTTATATTGGAGACATAAGGTAACATATTAAATGTAAAAATGAATCAGTAGCAAGATTATGTTAAATAGTAGTTCTGGGGAAAAATAAGTTAGGGAAATATGGAGAATGATTAACAGCGTTAGTATTTTAAATTGGGTCACCTGAAAAAAGAGCCTCAGTAAAGAGATATTTTTTAAGAGTGGAATTATTAGAAAACGCCTACCATGTCAAGCTTTAGGAATGCGCACTATCAAGGCCTAAGTAGAGCAACTGCAAAGGAACCTAAGCATCATTGAACCCAGGATGTAATAAACCATCACAAAAAGTCCAATATCAAAAGTACAATGTGTAATGGTGTCAGGAGACGATATCAGATAGGAAACACCAGAACCACACTTTTCAAAGTATCACCCTAGGTTGGTTTCAGTCCAAAAAGTATGTGTTACTGGACCATGGCGAAACAAAATTACAGAAATTGTAAGTAAACATTTAGAAAAATTATTTTGAAAGAAAATAAACATGGAATTATTATAAAATCCAGCAAACCCACTATAGGATATATACCCACAAGCAATAAAAGAAACACTTCACTCCTGTTTATTTCAACACTATTCTTAACAAAGTATGGAATCAAACTAAATGTCCATGTGGATGAATAAAGAAAATTAGGTACACATCACAGTGGCATACTACTGAGCCAAATCAAAGCATGAAATCCTATCATCTGTGACAATCATGAATGGACCTGGAGGATATTATGTTATGTGAAATAACTTGGGCACTCAGAGAAACATACTGTATGATCTTAATCACATGCCAAGTCTCAAAGAAACGTTAATCTAATAGAAGTTGAGAATAGAAAAGTGATCAAGGGGGGAAAGAGATGGGGAGAGGCCTGTCAAAGGGAACAGTGCTGCACTTGGATAGGAGGAATAAGTTTTGGTGTTCTGTTGCAGAGTAGGGTGACTATAGTTCATAATGTGTCTCAGAAGATTGGACCTTCAATGTACTTATCACACAGTAAAAATGAAACTTTAGGAGGTGTACATTCTAATTACTCTGATTATTCGATGTATATGCAAACCAAAACACCACATTGTACCTCTTAAACATGTACAAATATTATGTCAATCAAAAAATGAAGGGAATATTAAGAAAAATAATTAGTACCTGTTTCTCAGTGGTAGAACCACTTCTTCAACTGTTCACTAGATTCTCTCACCTCTTCCCACTTAGGGAACCCCAGCTTCACTTTTAAGACCCACCCCATGTCTTTAAAGCCTTGTTCCTTAATCTCATAGGTTCCCTCTGTTCCTCACCTCTCCTCCTCCCGTTGTCCATATTCTCATCTTTACTCCAGTTTCCTGGCTTTCACCCCCACCACCCCTACTCATAGTTGGCACGACGTCCTGTCACAGAACTCTCGGCCTGTTTGACTTCTAAGCAGACTCCTATGTTCTCGACTATCCTGTCACTTGTAAGAAACACGTTTAACTCTCTACTCCAATGAGTTTAAATATTTTGGTGTCACCCCCTAATCTCTGCTCTAATGCCTCCTTGTCCCTGCAATACCTTCACTCTAGGCCTGTCCTGGAGGATACTGTCCTGCTGGATACTGTCCTCCAGGGTTCCCAACCTGGCCAGCTTGGCCTCACATCTCACTCTCCACATCATTCATCTTGGATCTCATGTCAGTGCCAGTGCCCCCTTTATGTCCCCAGCTTGGTCCTTAAGCTCTGCCCGCTGGAGGATTCTACTGGGTTATTGCAAGGCACCCCTAATCATCAGCCCACAGTTAAATTCATGTTGTTCTCATATCTCATTCACCTCTCCACCCCCTGAAGCCCAAGCCAGCTCCTCTGTTCCCTATGTCATCACTGTGAATCTGTGTGCAGCCATCAGTCCAAAGCCAACCTTGAGCTGGCCCTTCTTTTTTCCCCACCTGTACTCAACCACTACTCCATGTGTTTCTGTTTCCCAAAAGTATTTCGTGTCTGGTCCTCTGCACCATCACCTCTCGGGACAGTGTGACCTCCTTGCTGGCTTGCTGCATCCACCACCTTACTGGTATTCCTGCTTTTGCCTGTCCTAGCCAGCACGTTCTTCCGTTACTCCCCACCTCCAAAGTGGTGCTGCTAAAATGGAAATAGCATCATGCGTTCCTGGGTTCTCCAGTGCAGAGAAGGCAAAGTTCAGATATCTTAACGTGACTTCTAGTGTCACCTGTGACCTGGCCTTTTGAGCCATATGCTGAGTCTTTCCCTGTTTCAACTCAATGGGGGATATTTTGATCTTTGTCCCTCTCCTTAGCTGTCTCCTTTGCTTCTCTCTTTCCCCTCTGTCTCCTCTTTTCTTTCTTTTTTACTACACCCCTACTTCCTTCCTTCCCCTCCTCTATTGCTTCTTCCCTCTTTCATCCTTATATTCATATATTCTTTATATATCATTCATATACATTCATACCGTATTTATTTCTAGCGGGCAATATGCCCCCATTTTTTGTCTCTAGTTAATTCTGTCCTACTTGCCATATCTCAGGCTTAAAGTTCACTTCTTTTTGAAAGCTCTGCCTGACCCATCAATGCTAGCTTAAAGACTGCTTTAATATTGAAGTTTTCATATTAAATTTTCATAACACCTCTTTTGTATGTTTAATTGTCACAGTCTGGGCAGACTATTCATCTTGCTTGCTAATTCACTAGCTACATCCACCAAGGTTTCTAGTACACACCAGTGGCACAATATTTAATCACAATAAGAGCAGATACCATGTGGCTGACATTCTCCTGAATATATGAATTAATTTTGTCTCCCAGCAAGCCCTTGTTACAGTTGCTAGGATTATCTCCATTTAGGCCAAGCAGAGGCACAGAGAGGCTGAATAACCTGTTCAACAGCCAGTAAAGCTACAGAGTCAAATTTCCAATCTGGAGAGTCTGGGTCCATAGTCCGTACTCTTAACATTGTTGGTTGACTAAAGAATGGAAATAAAGATGGGTAAGAGGGTTTGAGTAAACTTTAGAGTCCAAAATGATTTCTTCCTATCACAAAGCAAAGAAGTCCTAGACCTATGGATTCAGTCTGCACAATTTAACTCCAAATTTTATGCATTTAGTGACTATTCCACCTTGCCCCTTATATTTTTAATTGTTTTAAAAGCAAATGCACTTTTGCTCTCTGTGGACACAGTTTTAATAAGCTTGTTTAAATATTCATAATTTAACTGCAAATTCCCCTGCTGCAGCCTTCTGTGATTCACAGACTTCTGTAAGTGGCCTCTGCTCTGGGTGGTGAGGAGCCAGTGAACTGCCTGCCCCACGTTCATCCCACTTCCTGAGTGATCAGAAGTGCTGAACAGACTGCTGAGCCAGGAGGTTAGAATCATCTGTCATTGCTTCCAAAATATTAATTGGATAGTAATATTTTTGCTCTATATGCAGCTGGTTCATAACCTCACTGGGAAAGTGCTAAACGGTGATAAAATGTGTCTCAATTCTAGGTGAAATGATAATTTTTTCAGAATGTCTCCAGAGTTAACTGAGCTGGCCAATTTTATTTTTTTAAAATTTTTTTGGTGAATTCTCCCAAATTCATATCAACTGGGCATCTCATTAAACCCTGCCCTAAAGGGTTTAAATTCAAACCTGGATTGTCTGAGATTTCTCAGTCTTCTGTATTCCTATCAAATTCAAATGCTGAATTTAGGTCTGACTTTTCTTCAAAACTTTCATTACTTAAGGTTTAGAAAGAATCGTGTTAAATTTTATATGCTCAATGCCTAAATTAATGTCACTTATGTATGTGTTTTTCTGAATAAGATCTCTTTGAATGAATGAGTGCCTGTGTTCTTTTAAACCTTCATTCAATTTTTTGAACCAGATATCAGAAAGTATTTGATTTGTAGCATAGATTTTTCCACCCTGTTTTCCACACTTGTTTGGGTAGAAGACCAGCAGAAGACATGATTCTCTTTGTGAAAGACCATCAAATCCAAAATATTCAAAGTTACGTAAGTTAACATACACATTTTATTATGTTCTCACATCATCATTTTTCCTTGGCGTTTTTCTTTTATGTATACATACATAATAGGAATGTCCCTGTTATCTTCCTTCATTCAGTATGGTGGTTCAAACACGCGATACCTATTGATGTTTTGCAGATTTTCATCTTCATCTCTGACTCGCCTATGTAGCACCAAACTCATCTCTACAATGGGCTACAAACTACTCTTCCAGTTTTCATACCAGGAAGTATCATCACCATAGTCATAATCCCAGGAATAAGGTCACCAAGTAAACTGTAAGTCAGTAAGTAACCTGTAGGTCTCTAGACAGTAGTTTGGCCAAGAATGCTGCATGCAGGGAAGGCAAGTCTATACCCAGGATAAGTCCCTATTCCAGTAAGAGCACAGAACTCCCCTTCCCGTGATGGAAACAGTCCATTATAATCAATCTGCCACCAAGCTACTTTGAGCTGTTCACGCTTCTATACCAAGAGAATGGCAGAGAATGGGTATATTTTACTAGCTAGGTTGACTGGTCTTGATTAACAAATGCAAACTGGGCTACTGTTATACACTGGGTGTAACAAAAATATGTCTGAAACACAAGAGTTCCTTAGGTTATCTCTTAACTCTTAGGTCCTGTAATGAAAATCAAAAGAAATCTGTACCAACCCAAATCAGGCAGAACTTCTAACAGTGCTGATCCTTCAGGAAGAAATAATTTGGGTCAGTCCACAAGACAAGAACTGAAGTTTATTATTATTTTTTACTGAGTACAGAGGGAATGTAGAATGGGTAGTAGAGGAGGGTAGTTATAAACACAAGCTATGAGCATATGATTAGTTGCAGAAATGAGGACCTCAAAAGTTATATTTCCTACTTATTTTGTAATTGAATATAAATTAACCAAATATTTTTATCTTCTCCCTGCTTTCATTTCATTGTCATCTGACATAAATTGTATTAATTATGGTTAAATTTACATTACAGTATTAGAGTTACAGGATATCAAGAGAGAAAAGTGACCATCACCAAGTACATAGCATCCATCTACAGCAACATATTTGTGATTGCAAGCAGGATAGTGACATTGGATAAGGTAGAAATATAACTTTGTTAGTGTGTTTTGTAGGTTAAATATAGTTTAAAGTTTAAATAAGTTGGGCATAGAGGCACCCATCTGTAATTCTGGCACTCTGGGAGGATAAAACAGCAGGATCACAAGTTTGAAGTCAGCTTGAGCAACTTAGCAAGATCTTATATCAAAATAATATTTTATAAAAATTACAATGGGCTGAAGATGTCATTCTCTCTCACAATATATATACATATCTATAAATATAGATTTACATGGTAGATATAGTACAAATACACAAGTACGCAGAACATCAAATCTTGTAGCTCCATGTCTAGCACCCACAGCAAGTTGTAGAGCGAGATGAGCTCCAAAAGGCTTGGGCATCCCTACCTCTCTGGCATCCCACATGGCCTCTCTTGGGGTGGCTCCACTTACTGCCTGTGGCTTTCTTAGATACTCCAACTTCCTGGGGTCTCCACTACTTTTGATGTCATTCTCACACACCCCCTCCCCTCTCAGGAGCATACTGCCTGGCTTCCCAGGCCTTCTGAAATTTTGATGGAAGCCTCTTAAGACCTGGTAACTTGTATATTCTGTATACCTTTAGAACCAGCACCATATTGGTGATGCTAAGTTCTGCCACCAGCTGAAGCAGTAGCCAGGCCCACTAGGATCACAGCTATCTTGGCCTCTGAATGCCAGGATGGCTGTCCTCTGTTGAAGGAATTTCAGGAATCTTTCCTAGAAGGTCCTTCTGGAACAGGGGGCCTTTGAACCCGCAAAGAATGGGATGTTGTTGATTCTTAAGATGCATTCAAGCCATCTTTCCTATTATACTGATTCAAAGTGCTTGGCTTCTTTTTAATGCCAATCTTTTCAATAACAAATGCTCTCTATACACCCTGACTTTGTAAGCTCTTCCTTCTTGAGGAAACTGCAAACTTTTCACTGCTCCTAATTTTCACTGTAGATCTGACTAGAAGCAGCCAGCAGTGTTGATGCCATAGCCTGAATGTTCAGCTGCTTTGAAATTTCCTCTGCCAGATTAATTAGTCCACCACTATTAGTTAATCTTGGTCTTTCACAAAGTCTCAGAACATGGACAAAATTCGGATGAAAAATGTTTTGCTAGGTTAACATACACAGCTGTTAGTCCAATTGCCATGGTAATATGGTATTTGTTCCTCATTGAAGTCTCCTGAGCCTGACCTTTACTATCTGAATTCCTGTCAACATTTTGGTCTTCTAAGTTCCAACCGGAGTCTTCTGTCAAGCTCAGTCTATAACATTCTAGACCTTTTCTAGCCAGCATCTCCTAACCTTTCCAAACTAGTCTTACAAAACCATTTTCAAATAATTTTAAACTGCATGGTCATGTATCATCAGAGCTGTGGCCTCACTTCTCTGGTAGCAAAATCTGTCTTAGGTATTTTCTCATCACTGGAATAAAACACTCAACAGATACAAAGAAGAAGTTTATTTTGCCTCATGCTTTTAGTTCACGGTCAGCTGACTCCAAGGCAGAAACAGGATGGCAGAGGGACACAGCAAAGGAAAAGGTGCTCAACCCAATGGCACCGAGGAAGCAGAGAGAAAAGGAAAGAGCCAGGGCTAAGAATCTACTTTTCTGGGTGTTGCTCCCAGTAACTCACCTCCAATCAGGCCCCACCTCCTAAGAGCACATTCAGCTGCTGAACTTATCAATGGATGAATCCATTGATGTGTACAGTGCCCCCATGATACAGTCTCACTGCAAACACATGGGATACTTAGGAGACATTTTAGATCTAAATCATAACATTCTTACCATGGCCTGGAGTTGTAATTCTAGACCAAATGTGTTTAACTTAGAACCAATGTTTACCTACTCAAAAACTGATAACTAGAAAAACCTCTTATTTATATGGAAGATATCTATCAACATTTCCTGTATTGGAAAATATAATATAGCATCTTAAAACATTAAAATCTATACATTAAAATAAATAACATGTTTGATAATTACTATGTTTTCCAGTAACTAGTGAATATGATAGCACAGTTTTTCAACATCTCTTTAATGTATGGATGAAGAGAAGATAGAAGGGCTCCTTTACGTGTTTTTGTCTTCACTGTGTTTTAATGTACTGCATTTGTTCAAGTATATAAAGAAAGTCTAACCTTACCTAGATCTATACTATAGAAACTGTAGTGTATTTTAATAGGCTGTCATAATGCTATAAATATGTTCCTTATCTGTTTCACTATGTTGACATTTACGCTGATAACACAAAATCAGTGGTGGGTAAGAGTGTAATGCACCTTTGCAGGAGTTACAAAAACTTGGTACCAAACCTTGAGTGATAGTCTTTTATTATTCATTTGTTTTAATGTGAGCTTCAAGGTAGAGTGTAAAACTTTAGGGATGAACACTGTAATCTATGATTTTGGATTTAAATTGATCTTTTACCCATTCTGGATCTTGAAACATCTCATTTTGGTCTTCCAGGAAAGGTTCATTCAGTGTATTAGACAAACACTCTAAATATCAACATGGTTCATATATAATAACAAAAAGTCATGTTCATTTAATATCACCACAAATCTCATCAGAGAGCTTGTTCAGCTTACAATGGGAGATGAAAATTCCAATTATCTCTTGAAAGTTTATATTTTATCATTCACAAGAAATAATGTAAGCTGTAAGCTGTTTATCCTTAAATGATAGGTTCATTTTGGTTGCTTTCCTGAAAATATTGCCCAAATACCCAAGTCTGAATAACTATATGTCAATTAGTCTCTCAAGTAAAATGATGTTCTATGAAAAAGTGGCTAGTTCAGCTAGCAACACAATCACACAAGTGCCTTTCTTCAACAAAACCATTATATTCTATTATGAAACCTAAGAGCTTCATATCACAAAAATTGTCAGATTAATGTAGTTTATAAATGGGTATTGCTTTCTCAAGGACATTCTTAAGTAAAATTGCTTTCTATTTCCCTGCAGGTACATGGCAATAAGGAAACAGTGTTCGGTGGCATTCTGTTAACTCCTGGTGAAGTACATTGCCTTTTTGTGATCAGTGTAAATGTCAACACAGTAAAATAGACAAAGAACATCTCAGTATCATTATGACAATAATCTTGACTCTCTAAAAGGGACTCAGAGACCCTCAAGGTGTCCAAAGTCTGCATTTTGAGAACTTGTGATATAAGATATGCCTAGTCATAGCCCTTCAACCCCACTACACTGTAACTTTTTGTTGTTCTTGTTGTTTTGAGACAGGGTCTTCACTATGTCATCCATGCTTGCCTTGAACTCATGGCAATCCTCATGCCTCAGGCTCCCAAATGATGGGATTATAGGTGTGTATCACCATGTTTGGCAGTACTATAATTTGAATTCCCTGGAACAACTAGCTATTCAGAAATAATGACAAGTTAGGAATATGTCAGGCTGATTTTATTGCTCTAATCTACAGAAACCTGAGTACCTAATGGCTGGCTACTCATTTCTGAGCACAAATAAATAATAAGTGTTCTTTACTGTATTTAATACCTTTACTATATTTTATCTATATACCTGGACTAGATTAGATAATGTATTTGCCTGTTTTCTGATCCTAATGACACAATATGACAGCCCGCATAAGGTACAAAGTAAAGAGGCTTCCTATGACTCACAGTTGTAGAGATATAAAGTTGAGGGGCTGCATCTAGTAGGGATCTTCTGGCTCCCAAAGTCTCAGGGGCGAGGGGGACATCAGACGCCAGATAGAGAGCAGCCATGTGTGTCTTCTGGATGCTCCTCCAAAGGCTCTGCTTCTAAACATCACAATTGGATTGTTTCCACTCTGCTAATAGCTCACAATGGGGATTAAATTTCAGCACATGAAACCTTAGGGGGCACATGCAAACCAAATGACATCGTAGTGGATGGTGTGCCAGCCAGAGTTCTCCCAAGAACAGCATGTGTGTGGGAGGAGGAGAAGAGAGTGTTGTAAATAAATTTGGATGCTGGAGAGTTCAAAACTTGTAGGCTGGGACATCAGGCTGGAGACCTGGGAAGAATTAATGTTGTAATTCATGTTCAAAAGCTCTGCTAGCAGAATTCCTTCTAATTCCTGGGAGAGAAGTCTTTGTTCCTATAAGGCCTTCATTTGATTGATAGAGGCTCATCTACCTACTGAAGACAATATGAGTTCCTAGAAGTCCATTAATTTAAATGTTAAGCTCATCCAAACACATCCTCAGAAATATTTAGAAGAACGTGACTACATATCTGGGCACCGTGGCCCAATCAAGTTGACATACGACTAACCATCACAATTTATTTGTCAGAATCTCAGGATATGAACATAGTTGGAAATAATGAAATTAGTGTAACTAGTTGAAATGTCATAGTAGAGTAGTGTGAGCTAGCAATACAATATGACTAGTGTCCTTATAGAGAAGAAGAAACATGGGAAGAAGGTCACGTGGTGATGGAGGCAGAGATTGGACTGAGATGACTACCAGCCCAAGAAGGCCCAAAGTTACTGGAAAAATCAGAAATTGAGTAAAAGGCATATAATTGGTTTTCCCATGGAGCCTCAGAGCAGTATGGTCCTCCAACACCCTAATTTCAGACATCTGGGCTCTACGTCTGTGAGAGGATAAACTTTTGTTGTTTTACACCTAGTTTGTAGCAATTCATTATGGCAACTCCAGAAATGGAACACAATTGCTGCTTTCCTATATGGCTTCAAGTGTGCAAAGGTATAAGCAAAAATCTCTTCTTAACTAAAAATGCATAAAGAATAAGGATTTATCTGAAAGGAGTTGCAGAGGCAGGGATAAGAGCCCTGACTGGGTGTGCGCAGTGACCTAAAGTGTGAAAAAAGAGACAAAGCTGGAAATTGAGCAAAGAGCTTGCAGAAGAGAGAGGACAGCAGTGACACTGAATGGAAGCAGCTGGGGGGAGCCACAGATTGAAGGAAGCCAGCCAAGGGCACAGGGTGGAAGGGTCAGATGTGTTTTAGTCACTTTCCTTTTTGATACAGGTATCTATCCTGGAGAGCTTTTCAGAAAGATATCTAAGAGTCACTCAGAGGGTCCTAACGTTGCCTCCTGCAAAATTAGAAGTAAGAAAGAAAAGAGAAAAAGAGAGCCAGAGGGCTTGAGGGAAGAGGCAGGCCTGCTGTCGCTATGGAAGGGAAAAGAAAGTGTCAGATCGCAGCTGGTAAATAAGATGTTACAGCGAAGCTTGAAAAGCCGGGTTCTTTCTCCTTTATAAAGGCTCTACCTGTGTAACATGAAGGGGCTCAGTGACAGACACATTAAAACACCATTAAACTGTGAAATAGAACACAGTGTGAAAATAGATTTAACCTTCACAGCGTATCGATCTCTACCCCGCGCCGTGCCCAAGTTCTTGGACAACTGTTTTATAATAGGTTTTACTTATTTTCCTGTTGCTATTCTGACTTCCTCAGAGGAGGGTGTGATTTCTAAAAGCCCCTGACAGCTGAGAGAAGCAGGCTGGCTTCTCAGGGAGCGCCTGGCCTTAGAATGCTCCTACCAGCTGCTCCACAAACAGAAATCCATTTTGTGCAAGTGAAGAATGATTTTGTGGTGGCTGCTGAGAAGACAGACACCCAGGGGTGAGGAGAACATTGCCAAGTCCTGAGGGACTGGGTGGGAGACAGGGCTGAGTCTGTGTCTGACTCCACTGATGGGAAATGGAGGTGTCAAATCCTCTTGTGACTTTGTTTCGACTGCAACGAACAGAGTATATTGCTGGGTTTTAAACTGGTTCTTATGTTTTATTCTTTTCCTTTCAGAGTATATAAATACATGTACTCCGTCCAAACTCTTAACAGAGATTCAGTTCTCTCAAAACCAGTCAGTTCTCTAAAACAAAAGGGTCAAGGCTGCTTTAGCTCTCCAAACACTTTTCTGAATAAATTTCTTGACACATATAAGCAGACCTATAAAAAGTAAGATGACAAAATTAGTTACTTTTTCTGGAAACTTTCATATTTAATTGTGCAATGGCCCATAAAGAATGAAGCAAATCGGAAGATAAATCTATATGGCAGAACAAATAATGAGCTCAAAATTTCCTTATATGTGGGCCTTGCATACTATTTTCTTTCCAGTTGTTTTACTTACAAAATGAGCACCTATAAAACAGACCCTTCCTAAATTGTGGAATTGGAAAAAGTAATAATGAAGAGATTAGTCTTGAAAAGCTTCAGTAACCAAGCCACTTGTTGTATGAGCCATGAAAAACCAATGAATCCCACACTTCAGGTATTTTGTGCAGTGCACTAGGCCACAGCTCACCATCAAAGGCAGCGAAGGTGTCCAGGACAGTGATCAAACTTCAGCACTCATAACCGCCCCCCCCCCAAAAAAAATATATATATATATATATATATTTAAAAATTAACATAATCTTCATGTAAAAAACTCTTGATAGAAATGGAAATTATAAAGCTATTATGGAAAACAAGAGTCCTAAAACCAACCACCAAAACCACATTATAATCTAGCAATACCACTCACTGGATATACATCCGGTGAAAGTGAAATCATATCAAAGAGTTAGCAGCACCCCTGTGTTTATCCTGGCACTATTTATAACAGACCAGACCTGCAATCAATAAGGTGTCCAGTAATGAAGGGATGGATAGGAAAGTGATAAACATGGTATGAGTCAGTGTGTATAGGTACATACCTGCATGTATGGCTTTTCAGTCATAAAAAGAAGGAAATTCTCCCATACGCAGCAATATGGGTGGGTAAAACTGGAGTTAAAGTGACAGAAACCAGACACAGACCAATTTCATGTTCTCATTTATGGAAACTAAAACATCATGGACCTCGTTGAATAATGGGGCGGAGTCCTGGTAACTGGAGACTGGGGAGCGAGAGGGGGAAGAGGCAGAAAGGAGCTAAGTGGGGACCATGCAGTTAGAGGTCACGTTGGCTCCATAGCACAGTGGAGGAACTATGGGTTACATAATCCATGATATATTTTAAAAAAGAACTGGACGACTAGGAGAATTCCCAACTCATAGGGATCACTGATGTGTGAGCAGGTGGAAGTGTTTTATTTCATGGATATACTGAATTATTCTGTACCCCAGAAAATTACAAATATGATGTCCCAACAAAAATATTTGAAGAAAAAAAAATTCCATAGGAAATAAAAATTCCTTTGTAGCATAACAAAACAATCTATACTACACTAGTATGAGCAACAGCTGAATGAACAAAAACAAAATTCAATTTAGGTTCAGAAACATGATTCTACTATTTAAATGTATTGTGCAAATCTAAATAAAAAGAGAGTGATAACCCTCATAATGAAACAGATAATAATGTCTTTTTAGATCATATGATTGCCTACTTAGAAATTACAAGACAAAGTGTAAATATGGACTAAATGTATAATAGGTAATGTGAAATCGGAAGACAAGGGGCAAAGGGGAAGGAAGTGGGAGGGGTAGGGGAAAGGAAAGAAGGGAATGGGATTAATATGAGAAAATGGGAAAATAGGAACAAAATCTTTGTAAATAGGGAGGGATGGAGGGGTTGAAGGGAGGGCTGGGCAAGGG